GGTATGAATCAACATAATTTGGTTCGTATCTGGTAATCCTATAGCGCATTAGCTAGTTTGAATTTGAAAGATGAATTTGTTCAAACGAGTCCAAACCCAAATAGAAAAATTCATAAACGTTTGTTTTCTAACAAGTGAGTTACTACGATTGTCTTGTTGATATTTTGGTGACCTTTGGATTTGGTGGTGCCTTTGGTGCTGAGATGACTCCAAAATCTTCCACGTCAATGACTGCGGATCCCACACCGGAGCATAAGCCACAAATGTCAGATGGTTTCATTTCGTTTGTGCGGAGCTTCTCCTACAAATAATTTAAATATTAAATTACTTTTACTCACATGTTCAAATACATTTACAAGAAAGAAAACAGAACAGAGTGTGGTCTTACATTTATCTCTTTTCCATCAATGCAACGTAACATGTCCCTCCCCTTTTTCCGGCAATATATGAGCATCGGTGCAATGGATCCGTCTGTGAACTTAAAAGGTGGAAACTGCATAATGAGGAGAGAAGAATTAGCTTACGAAATTGGAATTAAAAGTCAGCAATTAAAGATAATATATACCTCTTCTTCACCACCGTTTTGCTCTTCCATGTTTCTTTGCATAGCCAGTAGAGTGACTTGTTCGTCCTCGAACTTGAACCTAAAACAAAAATACATTTTTGTTAGGTTTCAACTAACATATAAAGTTACAAAAAAGTTTTGAATCACTAACAAAAGAGTTAAACATATTAAGACTTACCAAGTTTTTGAGAGTTTTGGAGTTATAATTGCAAAGTAATTGTCACTAGTATTGTGACCAAGCACACTGTAGAAAAATAATCAACCTATGAAATCAAGCACTTGTAACTTAGTATTTAAATTCACAAAGTTAAAGAGACCGAAAGTTCAACCTATGAAGTGTGTATAGGTTGCGGATGTTCTTATCGGCATCATTACTCAAATACTTTCCATCCTCTCTATCAAGATCCAACTGATATGGATATTCATACCCATCATTGACCTATAAACAAAAAGATACATCACATGTCAGAAACTTGAAATCCAAGTTACCGTATTAAAGTTCCAAATTACGAATTAACCTCTAGCGTGTTCTTGTCATCACCGCAAGACCTCACAAGACGAAGCTGCAGAACCGGGGGAAAGGCTGTGAAGGCACCGCTTTGTTTATCGTCAATGTACTTGTTCAACGAAGCATAAACATCCTTGCAGTTTTTAACCTCGAGGTCCAAGCCTTCAATAAAACAATAGATTGCTCTTAAAACTTCATAATATACGAGAAAGCATGATGAGTCATTTGTTTAAGTCTACTTCATACCAAAAAACGTGTCACGGACGTTTCCGTTCTTATTGTATTGACCTTCAAACAACTTCCTCATTGCTCCTTCTTCCACCATACCCTAGAAATCGAAGTAAAGTTATGATGAAATTGTTTTTTGAAAAAAAAAAAGCATAACAAAGAAGACATGAAGCGACACATCCATGTATGTTTACCTTCATTTTGTCTTCAAATTCTTTACAGAGAGTTCGAACCTCGTCTTCTAATGAAGCATCAGAAAAACTAAGCAACGCCACTTTGGAAACACTAATATCACTAATCTCAAGATTGTAAAACAATTGCTTGATGGTTGATAGTGTAGATGTATCCTTCACAGTCTCGGGAATGTTTCTGACAAGCTACAAGAATGATGCAACATTCATATATCATTCTTTAAGATCTTTTGCATACCGAATTAAAAAAAAAATCAGGAAATGCATCTCACCTTTCTTAAGTAAGGTATGTGGAATAACATTTGGAGCAGAGAGTTGATGTATGCCTTTTCATCCTTTTCCTTGACGATTCCAACAAACCCTGTGGCACTTTTCGAGTCATACTTGACAGAAATCTCCTTTGCTCTGTTCCCAACTGCATATCAAACAGAAAGTCTAATCGCAAAGACAGCATCGGTAAACTATTTTGATACTTAGTCTCTATGTGAGAAAGCTTGTGTCCGGAACCGAAATTTCAATAGGCCTCTTAATAACTACAAATCATAGAGATGATCTAATCACTAATTGCAATGGAACTCTCAATAACTAAAACAAATCAAATCACACAGCATCGGGAAACTATTTTGTCGCTGCAACTAAATCTCTATCAACACTACTACTTAGTCTCTCTGTATTTCCTAATTCTCACGAGAAATCAAACATGAATCTGTGCATGATTTTGATCTAAGATTGTTGTCAAGCGCTTCAACTGAATAACCATCAACAAAAGTTTATGTCCAACAAGTCAATTTGTGTACTCAATTCTCGAAATCAAACAGAAATTCAACCTATGAAGATTTATTTGAACAGCGAT